ATTTTGGCCATCAAGGTGACTGAGCAATTGACAATGTAGCCCCACTAACAGCTGCTGTACCAAACATTGCAAACCTAACATCTATCTTGCAAGCAGCTGCACATCCCCAGCTAGGAAGGGCTCACTACAAAAATTATATTCTTTATGGATCCATTGCATGGGCAGGATAAAGAAAAGTTTGCTTGGGAAGGAATACAATGCCTTAACAGATTCTCACAAGGGTATAAATATTTACCCACTACCACTCACACTGCACTTGCTGAATTTCTACAGACAGCCTCATTCCCCCAAGACAGGAAACTGTACCAATTATCAGGGATAGCTGGATTAGTGCAACTTCCCTGGAGAAGGTGGGGAAAGCAGAAGGAGTAGCATGGCAAGTACTCAATACAGCAGAAATTGATATTCCACCCAGAAAATGTCACAGATCAAATAAAGTAATATTTTTAGATACCTGGTGGATAGCAGGCAGTGCAGTGACTCCTTCAGATACCTTATGAAAAATCAGAGATATAAGTTCCCCAATCAAGAAAGGAGTTACAATAATTAATGAGAATTTTAGAATATTGGAGGGTGTTTTATTATTTCCCATCCATTATACTCATTCTTTGGTTCCTCCGACATGTTCACTTTTTGTCTGTAATAGTTTATGTGATCTTGAAAGATTTTCAGTTTCAAACGTAAGTGGGAGCAGTAGAGCCCCTTTTAATATGACATGAAGGTTACTTGGTAATCGCATACCAGTCTTCCAAAGCTCTAATCAGAAAGTGATGCACAAAAGGCCAACATTTGATGTTTTTTATTGACCTGATGAAACATTTTTAAAAAGGGTGTACTCCTTGTGATGTTAAGAGGGCATCAGCTCAAAATAACTCAGTGCTTAAGGACTCTGATTCATCAGACCTTCCAGTATTTCATTTGCAAACCAAATTGCAGAGTGTACCTCTGCTCTACTGTTAGTCTACTTGCATTAGAAAAATTGCTGTGGAAATCTTGAAGTGATTAAATGTCAGTGTAATGAATTTCATATACTGAAAGGTAAAAACGCCGAAGTGTCTAAGTTTTAATAAGTGCTCCATAACAGAAGTGGAGAAATCTGAAAACAAAATTTATGCTGCAACCAATTAATTAAAAAGAAAATTCTACTAGAACAGCTTGGATAGGCAAACACTTTTGATTCTATGATAATAGGAAACATAAAGCAAACCAAGATTGACATATTTCTTGTGGTAATGGGCATTTGAATCCCATGGGCAGCTGGAAGGGAAAAGGGTACAAAGTCTCTGCATGTGTCTTGCTCAAGTATTTTCCCTATCTACAGCATGAATTGCTTCATCCAGACTTTGAGTTGACTTACTGTTCCATAGGAATGAACAGTGACTTGCAGGGCTATATTGAATGCCTAGAATAAACACAAATTTTTGCTGCTTGTTCACTTCATTATGAGACAGGGTTTTAGCTACAGTCAATGACATAAAAAAAACATGAGTCACCAGCACTTTTCAACAGTGTCTGCTGTCTGAGCCATTACCCAAATATAGTTACTACCTCCGTAGTTTTGCTATTCTAGGTGATGGAGAGCTAACAACAAAAGAACAAATGTGTCTTAATAGAAGCTTTACTTTCCTTTGCTGTCATAGACAAGTCATGATCAGAAAAATTATAGAATGCTGTTCTTGATTGCCTATATTATTTTTCTATTATTTTATACTTTTTCAATTATAAAAGCATTGTATATATATATGAGAATTTCACAGCTCATTCAAAATCAGGGATAAATTTTACCACCAACTTTATCAGTGTGAGATCATCCCAACCACAAATGAATCATTTAACAGAAGTTTTACATGAATATTATTTAACTGCAGCCCATACTGCAGTTACTCCTCCTTATATTTTGAGAGAATTAAACAGAGAATCAGCCTTTGCTCATAACCAAATATGAATAAATCCAAATTAGAACAAAACCCAGCACGTCAGTAAATAAAATCACTATGGCCCATGACTGCTTTAAGATAGATGTAGAACCTCTCAAATAACTCGCCTCTTTCTTTCTTTGTTTTTTTTTCTTTTAAGCTCTGTTATATTTAAGTTCTTTTACAAAGTCACTAGAAGGGTTGTCTTTACAAGTCTTCTTCTCTGTTTTTACTGACAAAGCTGTAGAGATAACAGAATAGACAGGGTGCAATCAAAGTCCCAAGTTCTCTAAGTGTTTATTTGCTGTATGACTGAATCTGCTCAATATTTCATTAAACTAAAAAAGGGAATGACTAATAACACTATCAGCTTTTCAATGCATTAAGGATATAACACAATAACGGCTGCTTTTAACTATTCTGTTTTCCCCTTCTTTATTCAATCAGGGCTATGGTTATCTGACAGTTGGTTAATACCTTCCACAAAATAGGCACCTCTGTGACTGAAGGCAGGCAAAGGAACAAGGCACTGAGCAATGTGCAGAAATACTAGAGTGCAAGCTCTATACTCCTGCTATCTGTTTGCATGCCTTAAGCAGAGTTTCTCATGATTACAGGAGAGTTTGAAATTGTTATATTGCAAAGCATGCCTAACATCACATCCATTTTTATTGCTGTAAATTCTCTGTTGATCTCTATGTAGCTGCATTTTTTTTTTTTTTTTAATGCAGGCCTTTTTGGAGAAATTTGGACATTCAGCAATAAAAGGCATGCATAGTGACCATGCCCATGATGGCAGAAAACACATATATCTGAATCTGATCTTCAGAGTATCACTGTCAACATTCCAACAAATTAAGTCTTCCCAAAGACATCTTTGGTCTGTTTTTTCACAAAATCCATCTGGTAAATATCCTGTAACCTAGCTGAGATTTTCAACTATTGTAAATTTGCTGTAGTAATATGTACTACAAATTATTAGCATTATAATGATAGTTATAGCATTTAAGAATAGAGAACCTAATTTTTCATTTTGAAAAATAAGCAATATTCAAGCACCTTAAAGCACCTGAAATATAGCAGTTACATCCAAAATAAGCAGACTGAAATCAAAGCTCCTATCAGCCTCTTCATGCATTTGGATTTTCCATATTTCATTTGTGAGTATACAGCCACATTAGCATCCTCTTCTACAGGTCTTATATTAAGAAAATATCTCAATAATTGAGATTGCAAATGCCTTTCCTTACATTTCCATCCCTATTTTTTTTAATCAAACAAACAAACAAGAAAGTAAAAGACCCATTACAATTCACTGGATTAACTTAATCTGTGTTGAAAGACTAGGAGGAACAGGACTGGAAAACCACTAATAACTGAGATGCATGCTTTTTACTTTAAGGATTTCAGTACTTGGCTCAAACTTAATATTTTCTACGAGCATTCTGGAAAAAGATCTAAAAAAAGCAAAAATGAGAGTCACACCATGAACCTGAGAGTGTTGTCCAAATGCTTCTTGAACTCAGGCTTGGTGCTGTGACCAATTCCCTGTAGAAGTTTAATATTAGTTTATTATCAATTCTAAGATCAAATAATTTATTTATAATAAATACAACCCACAATTTGTAAAGAGTTCTTGAAACAGAAACATAGTGTTCTTTTTTTGGTTCTGTTTCTTGATTTTTGTTAACTCCTGTGTTAGGGCACTGCCAAGTAGAAAAAGTCAATAACTTTGTAGTCAGTGACCAAAGTAAAAAGCTGAAGTGAGGAAGTTTTTCAGACAGCCTTTGTTAATCATCATTTGGTACCAAAAAGAGAGTAACTCTTTTTCTAAGCCAGACTGACATATTTAAGAGAAAAAGGACAGTTTTCACACACACAGTCATTAGACAGGGAGATTATTAAGGAGTTTTAATGTCTGAGAGCGCTTTGCTATGTAGGAAAGTGTAAAATGGCAGAGATCTCATTCAGAAATAGGCACTGTGCAAGAGTAAAACACTGCAGCATGGAAAAATAAATCATGGAAAAAACAACCTGATGCAACCCATTATCGTACAGGAGATAAACTTGAATAAACTGATGTTTAAATACACTGCCAAAAGCATCTGTTTTAATATCAGTGTGTCCTTGATTTGGAGTGTGAGCATGCTCAGTATGACCCCAGATTTAAGATTTTAACAGTTTAAATACTATCTGAATATGAATTTAATGTGACATAGATATAACATATATTACAAACAGAAAGTTGGGTCTCAAAACTCCATCTACCAAAATTTGTCTTACCAGCTTCAACATTCCTGTCTCTTGTTATAACAATCACCCTCCATTCAGCTCCAAAGGTACCCTAGAGATTTATCTTTCCTAAGAGCTAGGATGAGTAATCTTTGTTGACCATGGAGCACACTCTTGAACTAAAAGAGCAAAGGATGTTGCACTGTCGATGTGCCCTCGTAAACATACCCACCTCTCTAGCCCAAAGTATGAAGCGCTTCTCTTTTATTTTGTCTAGGGGAGTGTGGTTTTCCCCACATTATGGTTTTCTTTGCACCAAGTTATCTCTGTGCCTTTTTTACTATTTGTTTGCCTTCCTTCTGCATCAGACTTTAGCTGCCAATGTTAAAAGTTATGACCTGCTGTTGTACTTCTCATATAACTTCCATCAGATGATACTGACAGCTTTCAGAATTTTTAAGTAAATTTTCCTTCTTGCCATCCTTGCCTCTAAGGCCACAGCCACAACCTGAGACAAGTTATCAAACATCAACTGTTTAAAAGATGTATACAAGCACAGCTCATTTTAGTTGAAACAAGTACCATACTAACCATTCAACCAGAAGCACAGAAAAATCTCTGAAAGACCATCCCATTCATCAAAGTATTGCCTATAACCAAAAGCAGAAAAAAACCTCTTCCAGCACTGTTAGAATAGTAAAGTTAAAAAGCAGACCTTTATTTGGAAGCTTCCAGGTGTCCTGGTAGTGATGGGGAGCACCCAACAGCTAATTTCCACAATTTTGTACGATTAACTAATTAGGTATCTAACAGGTGCATCCAATAGGAGACTTAGTTGCCCCAGTAACTCACCCCTGGGTCATCCCCCTTGAAGTTAGTCCAAGGGCTGCTTTGCCCCACTTTTTGTTATGACTTCTCAGATTCCAGCTGGGAAATAAAATGTTGTTCTTGTAGGTCCTCTTCCTGACAATAAGACTTTCCAATACTTCAGGAATATGGTTAGAAAGTCAGTTATTGTTCTGAAATCTAAGAGAAAAGGTAGGAAAAGTACTAGAGTTAATTAAGAAGATATGTAACTACATAACAGCAGCTAGGAGTATAAGAAAAATCTATAAAATCAGAAGTCTTTTGGGCCTCAAAAGTAATTCCTTTTCTTAGCACAACTGACATAGTTACTCATTTGTCCCAGAAAACAAGGTAATTCCTCTAGTAGATCACATTACAAAACAGCAGATAACAAGAGATACACACATTTCTAATAAACATGTAATCATTATTTATTTCTTCTGAAGTAATATGATTTTCTGCATTCTGACCAGCCACATCCCAAGGTCAACAATTCAGGGCAGCAGCCCTGAGAAAGGAATCCAGCTACTTAATCTCTGTTCCACAATTCTTACCTGCTGTTAACATTTTTTCATTTTTGCAAGGTCTGTTTACAGAGAGAAAGGTTATAAATGCTCAGTGAAAGGTAGAAACTAGCCTTCCTGTTAGTTTTACAGAAAAATGTATTCAATATTGTCAGATCAGCTAGAAAACCAAACAAATACAAGACATTACTGAATAAATTATCTGTATTTATATACAATCAAGACAGACATGATTGCTTACATATGAAAAGAGAGGAGGGAGAAGACCAGGGTCTTTGAAATAGTCAAATCTTGGATCTGCTCATTTCAAGTTTGCCAGTATTTATTGAAAAATGCCCTGGGACTTTCAGCCGAACAAAAAGGAGGTTCTTTGCAACAGCTACCTACCAGCAATGTTTGGTTTCACACAAGGAAGTAAATGTTAAATTCCTAAAGGCACCTTGAGACTCCAGTCATCATTTCCTGCACAGAAGGGGAAGAGGAAAGGTGTAAGGATTGTGTGGCTAAGGCAAAATCTTTCAGCTGGCTGAGAGGGGATGGACCACACAGCAATAAAGCCCAGGCGAGTTGCCCTTCTGATGTCAGTTGTGTATGATACAACCACAGCCTGACATGATCATCAGTCTCCTAGAGGCATTGGCATGGGTTATCAGAGACCAACCATATAGGAATCTGTTAAGGGCTGTGGAGTGCTGTCTACTGCTGTTGCAGTTTCAGGCAAATGGATTTGGTGCTTCCATACATAACTGTGCTGATCAAAGGGTTTAAACATTCATGTGTTGAACTTAACTGGTCTTACCTGCTCCTGTATTTTCACTAACTGTACATTCCATGATGGATCAGTAGGAGTTCCCTGACCACTGTTTTTTCCAGAAAGCATATTTTCAGTGTCTGAAATTCCAAGCAAGACCCCTTCCCGCTGAAGAAATCAAGTGCTTGAACACCAATAAAACTGCCTTTTCCTACCCTGTCACATCTAAGCCAGTTAGAAGGTGTTGTCACCAGCACAGTTAAATGTTAAAGCAGCTTGGTGACACTTGCATACTTTTTGACATGCTTCTCCATCCCACGTGGTTCTTGTAGACTGCATTCTTTAGGATGTTAACATACCAAAAGATGTTTCATGTCAAAGAATTTCCCTCAGGACAAGTTATAGCTTGTTAACTCCTCCAACTTGTTCCTACTATATTGACATTGACAAATATAAATCCCTAGTAGACTATCAGATTAATTAATTTTCTTCCTGAATGTCTTTTATAATTACAGACAAATAATTTTCAGGGCTAAATCAATGCCTAAACTAGATACATTTTCCTCCAGAGAACTGGAATAAATAGTTATTTACACTTCAGCTCTCAAATGGTCTTTTTAAAGAATGAGTACTTACTTTAATGTTGAGTTGAAAAAAAGAATAAAACAGCTTTGTGGTTTAGACAGCAGGTTTTTTCCAAGCCAACTTGGATCACTAATTTCTTCTGGAATTGGAAAAAATCAACATACCGTACAAAATTCAGCTGGAGTATCACTTATTTCAATTCAGTTTTATTAAGCAAAACCAAATTATCAGTTTATTCTAAGACTGTATATCATACTTCAGTTTTAAGGAAGCAAATAAGTGAACATGAATTGATTTAACTACCTTTTTTGTTAATATATAATCTGCTAGCTTACCTCACTCTAATAGTGCACTCATACACATCAATAACAAATTCATTCATCCCAGATGTTGAGTATTTTTATCACTAATATTTAATCTTATCCCTTTCCTCACCAAAATTAAAAAAAAAAAAGGATTATTAAAAGAATAAAAAGGAAATTTTAAGGCTGCAAGTAAGAACAATTCCAAGACATTTGAATTGCCTGAAAATTGAGGTTTCTTGTAGTGCTTGGAGGGTTAATTCACTTGCTCACCCCTCTCCTATGGCTAAATTGAAAACTATAATCATTCTTGTTCTAAATTTGTGTTTTATGCCATCACCTCTGCTTTAACCGGTATGCTGCAAATAAGCATTGACCAATCTGGCTCCACTTAACTTCACTCTTTTCATCACTGCCAAACATCCATGCATACAATCATCTGCCCTCTGGATTGGGTATATAACCAAACATGCAAGGAGTTACTATGTTTGGAAAGCTAATGTTGGATAACACTTGTATTTCCTTAGTTCTTGCTTGTTGCTCATATAAAAAATAATGCAAAATTCTCAAATACCTCTGTAAAATATAATCTGACAGTTACCTGAAGGAAATTTGCTGAACACTCAGGAAAAAAAAAAATAAAGCTTGCTGTAAAATTTTAGCTATATGAAACTCCATCAGAGAGCCATAACATTAAGTGAGATGAAAAGGGACATGAAAGGGACAGATAATTCCCATTTCCAGTGAAAGCTATAGCTGCTGCAACCAAAAGAAGGTATCACAATTCCACAATAAGAGCTGAAATTCATATCTGGCTGATAGAAAAAGTCTGATGGAGCGTGGGTAAGGAAGTTTTCTGTGGTCGAAAGGAGGAAACAGTATGAGAGAAAGATGTATAGTTCACAGAAATATATTGCTATTCCTCTGTATTGTAATAGATACCATGCAATCATTTAAAGAATCCTTTAAATCCCCTACAGATTCTATTGACCTAGCAAAGCTATATCCTTACTCTAAGCTCCAAGAAAAAACAAAGATTTTTATGGAGTTTTCAGACCCACTTTTAGATCCAAGATTTTTCTTATTGTATGGATCATCCACAGTGGAGGTAACAGGTGTTTGTAAAATTGGATTGCTTACCAAAAGAGCATTCAAACAGACTTCACATAATTTTGGAATGAATTTATTCACTTGCAGTCCTGGTAAGTATGTATCAGCTTGAAAATGCTACTTTTGTTTGGCCAAGCTGACTCAGGTTGCATGCACACGGTTACATAGAAATGATGCTCTATACTACTCTCCCCATTTCCAGAGACAGATTTCACTTATTTTGCTCCCACTGGAAAGATTCCAAAGTAAATACCCATTCTTTCTGCAATTCTTATTGAAAATGTGATGACTGTTGCCTTGCAAACTATCCCACTGGAACCCTGTAGGACATCTGGCATTCAGGTGATTTTGTGTGGATACTCATTATTGCAATCTAAATTTAAAATCATCTGGCATTACCACTTTGCTACAAATTTCCCACTTCAGCTGTATCATATAGTTATGGAATAATTTAATCTGTTAGGGGTCTTTGGAGGTCACGTAATCCAACCCACAAATATATACACACACAATCAAGAAGAGAGACATTGTCTCAGGACAACCTGTTTCACAGCTTTACAAAAGGGTTGAGCTTCACAAAAAGCTAAGTTGTGGGTGTTACACCAACCAGTATTATGCATTTGGAGATAGGTAATACATAAGAAGTCTGATAATAAAAAGTCATACTACTTAAACTTAGCTTCTTTTTTTTTTTTTAATAACCTATTGGATTTCTTCATGTCTGAACCAGTCTGTAATTCACCACGAAAGGAAATAATGTACAGTGTTGGTAAATAGTGATACCCCTCAAAAAGGACACAGTGAATTTTCACCTGTGTACATATATACAGAATCATGAAATACGTTGAATTGGAAAAAATCCATCAAGATCATAAAGTTCAGCTCCTGGTCCTGCACAGGATACCCCAAGATTTAGTCCATGTGTCTGAGAGCATAATCCAAACACTTCTTGAACTCAGAAAGGCTTGGTGTTATGACCACTTCCCTGGAGAGCCTGTTTCAGTGCCCAACACCCTCTGTGTGAAAAACTTTTTCCTGGTATCCAACTTAAATGTCCCCCAACTCAGCTTCATGCCATTTCCTGGAGACCTGTCTCTGGTCACAAGAGTGACAAGATTGGTGCTTGCCACTCTGTATGCCCTCATGAGAATGTTGACAAAAATGAGGTGTCTCCTGTTCTCCAGATTGAACAGAGTGACCTCAGCCACTCCTATGGCATCTCCTCCAGACCCTTCACTATCTGTCGCCCTCCTTTGAACACCTCCTAATAATTTAATATTTTTCTTATATTGTGTCACCCAAAACTGCTCCCAGCACTCAAGATGAGGCTGCCTCAGTGCAGAGCAGAGTGGGACAATCCCCTCCCTTGCCCAGCTGGCCATGCTGTGCCTGATGCCCCCAGGACACGCTTTGCCCTCCTGGTTGCCAGGGCACAGTGACTCATGTTCAACTTGCCATTGACCAGGACCCCCGGGTCCCTTTCCAGAGCACTGCTCTCCAGCCTCTCATTCCTCAGTCTATACTCACAGCCAGAGCTACTCTGACTTTAATTGTCAAGCATATGAGTTTGAAACTCACTTTTTGCAAACTATCATGCCAATAAATCTGAATTACATTAATGTAGATTGAAAGTGAACAAAAAGGAAAAACACAAAAAATTTCTGTAATTTAAAAATATGAATGACCATTCAAGTCTATTGCTATGAGAAAAAATTCAGCCATCTGTATCCTCTTCAAAGTCATGACCTTAAGGGGAAACAGAAATTTCCAGTCAGCTATTCATTGCTCCCAAAAATGGTGCTGTATCATACGCATTTTAAAATATATACATTAATGCATTATAACTCCATCAGGTGCAAGGCTCTTAACATCATTCTTCTAATGCATAAGGCACAATTCCTTACAATTTTCATTGGTAGTTTATATTCCTCAAGCACTTTTTAAACTTGATATCACACTACACCTCTGAAAATCCGTAATAAACTTTACTGTGTCATTGAAATTGATATGCAGGCATACTGCATACAGCCAGCAGTAAATTTTTGCATCTAAGAATTTTCTCAGGCAATCTGTATATTTGTCAACAGACATATTTAGAACCCAATTTTTTCATATTCAAGGGTATAGGCTCTAGAGTATAGTATACACAATTTTATACCTATTTGGTAGTAGAAACATGAAATGCAGATTTATGGATATAGACAGAGTGTTTCACTCTAGCTATTCATGAATGTAATGCACACACATCCAGAAATTAATATGCAAATCCTGGCTCCCCTAATGCTGTTGGCAGAATTCTTACTGATGCCCACAAGGCCTAGTTTTCACCTGTGATTACTGACCAGTAGACAATGTTTCTGTTAGTTCAAATTACAAAAAGACTGAGGAGAAACCTAATTCTTTAATAGCTTAGTATTTTGAGGAGTCTGTGTTTTCTTTCTGACTGCAAATTTGAAAAGTTCCCTTTTTACAGCTCAGTTGAAAGTCTCTGGAGCCTAGGTGTATTTGCAACTCAGCATTCCTTTGGTTCCCAGTAAATAAAAATGTACCCATTTAGATGCTCATCAATATTCAGAATAACTCAAAAAGTAGCCAACTTCTAATATGGCCCAAAGAGCAAGTAGTTCCCCAGACAGTCATTTCTGAGTCCTAATGTTACACATGTGTTATTCTACTGGTAGTAGAGTAAGTAATGTATGCATAAACCATATCACATTTGCACCAGATTATTCCTGTAGAGATGTTCTCTGCTTCTTTGATCACTAAGCATGCAGCCACACACATACAAAAAAACATCCTCAGAAAACTTTAAAGCCTGGGTTGAATACATATTATAGTCCTGACTTTTTGTTCTTTAATTTCCATAGAATAACGTGAGTTTAAACCAGTGATATCAGTTCCACGTTACAAACTTCTTACACTTCAGGGATAGTCAAGAGATATGGACTTCTTTCTAACACTGAATAATATTGCTCTTGGAGCACTATATGTTTTCCTGTCCCTGAAATACTAGTTCTTGTGTCCTACATTACTTCCAGCTCTGATGCCCCTGGTTTTGTACTCTTTATAGCGCCAATCTTGATATAAAATTGATAGCTGACTGAAGTCAAATTTAAATTACAACATACCTTGTTCACATTCAGAGATAATTTTTTTGCTGGATGTTCCACTTGTATTAGAGTATTACTTCAGTTCTTCATTTTCTATAACTCTTCACTGATCCTTGACCCAAAGAACTCTTACAGAGATGATAATTTTCACTTCCAACTTTTGCAAATACTCCTGAGACTGTGCAAACATTTAAACATTTTAACTGTATCTTTATCTAATCCAATTACATTTTCAGACAGGTGGGGGTTAAGCTGATTCTGTGCTGGATTTTCTGTTTGGTTGGTTTTGCTTTTGAAAGAATGTGCAACTCATTCCTCCACAAATGCTGTACTAAAACTATAAGCTACAAATAAGCCAAGAGACCATGTAACAGACAGAATTTTATCTCCACTTAGTACTATAGACATCTGCAAATAACATCATGGAGCCTGCAAACATCCAGGTAAATGTTAGGCCTCACTTTCTGACTCTCTATTATTTAACACCAAACATAAAGATGATATTATCTATGTTAATATGAAGAAGGAGCTGCATAAACACAAAACAAACAACAAACACCCCAAACATGGAAACAAACAAACAAACCCTGACTTAGCAGTCATATTTTCAATT